TTTAATGCTATATGCAAAACTTTACATTTATTAATTATTTATATATTAATTATATAAGGCTTATTAAATATAAAGCTAATTAAAAATAAAAAAAGGGTAAGAAATAAATTATTATAAATTAAGCTATAAATAAAAAAATTATTAAAATTTTTAATAATAATAAAAAAGATATAATAACATTATATATTAATATTTTAATATATATAATAAAGCTATTAATAATTATAAGTATTTTAATATTATAAATTTTTAATTTTAATGCTTTAAAGCATATAATAAAATATATAAAAAACTTTAGCTTTTTATAATTATATTTAAATATAATTACTATTATAAGTAGTAATTAACTTATTATAAAAGGCATTAGCTTTATAAAAATCTTCTTATAATTATTAAATAAATTAATTATTAAAAGCATCTTTATTAATGTTTTATATAATTATATATTAAGGAATACTTATTTATTTAGCTAAATTATAATTTAAAAAAGGTTTTAATTAAATATATAGGGAAATAATATCTTTTTATTATTAAAAAATAATAAATCTTATAAAATATTATAAGCAAAGTTTTAATATAGAAATTTTATAATTTAAATAATAAAAAATAACTTTATAATATTTATAATATATAGTAAATTTTATAAAGCTTTTAATTATAGCAATTTATTAAAATTAATTATTTAATGCTTATATAAAAATAAAAATATTATATTAAATAAATTAATGAATTTTTATTATAAATTATGTTAACTTGTAAAGTTTATTAAAAAATGCTTATATTTATTGCTAAAATAATAATTTATATAGTTATTTAAGTATATTTAATTTAATTTATTAAGTAAATTCTTAATAAAATTATTAAAAAGTTTTTAATACTTTATTTTATTTATTAATAATTATATTTAATTTTATTAAATTTACTTTATTACTTAAAAGAATAATATTTTAAATATTATTAAAAGATTCTTAAATATAATTAAAATTTAATTTAATATAAAAGTTAAAACATTTAATTTAAATAATAAGGGTAAATATATAAATAAAATAATTATTATAATATTTTAAAAATATAAAATTATTTATAAGAAATTACCCCTTTATTATTATAAATTAAATAATATACTTAAAAAATTTATATATATTATTATTACCAATGCTTATATAATAATTTATAATAAAAATTATTTATTTTTATAGCTTAAAGCAATTTCCTATATAATATACTTATAAAATTAAAAATTATACTTAACCTTATTATATTAAATAATGTTATTTAAGGCATTTTATAAATAAAAGCTTAATATTAAATATTTTTAATTATATTTTTACCTTATATACCTTTATATCCTTATTAAAGCTTATAAATTAAGAATAAAATTATTAAATAAAGCTAAAAAGATATATTTTATAAGATTTAAAGTTAAAAATAAAACTATCTTTTATTTATTTATATTACTTTAAAAAGTTATTATAATTATAATATTAAGTTATATTACTTAATTTAATTTAATAATAAAGATTATATAAATAATTAATTAATTAAATAAAAACATATTACTTAAAATAAAGGTATTATTAATATCTTAGCTAATAAAACTTATTAATAATGCAAAACCTATAAATAAACTTATAAACAAATTACTTAAACTCATAGGACCTATATAGTTATATAATTCTTAAAAACAATAGATTTAGCCTTTATGAAAAGCAAAAAAAAATGCAAATATTATTATAAAATATTTTAAAAATTTTAATGACTTAGCACTAATTAATGCAAATTTTATGCTAAATCCTGCTTAATTAATATTAATTAATACTAACTACCTTAATTAAATCTTTACTTAAGCATTGCTTATTAATGCAGCAAATATTAATAATATTCTTAATATATATATATAAGCTATAAAAAGCAATAAAAGGAATGCTTAATAATAAATTATTAAAAGGGAACTTAAATTACTCTTAAATATAAGTATATAAATTAAAGTGCCTGTTATTATAAACTAATATATTATTAATCCTTACTAAGTATATATAAATAACTTCAATGCTTTTAATAAACTTATTTATTATAAAGCTTAACTTATTACTTATAAATATATATAAATTTATAATATAAATTATAATAATATTTATAGCCTTATAATGTATTATAATAATTTAAAACTAATTATTATCATTATCATTATAATAAGCTAATAGCTTTAATAATTTAATATTAAAATAGCATACTTACATAATTATTTAAAATATAATATTTATATATAACTATCATAAGGATATTAAATATTATTTAATAATTAGCAAATTATTTTAAAACTTCTTAATGCTTTATATAAACTTAAATAATTAAGCCATAAATAATTTAATACTCTTAAAAAGGAATTAATTAAATATTTAATAAAGATAATATTTAACCCTTACATTTTCATTAAAAACCAAATTATTATTATTATTTATATTAATAATATTCTTATTACCAAGAATTCCTTTTAAGTTAATAAATTTCACACTAAGTTTATACAATGTTTTAAGTATAAGGATTTTAATTTTTATAAATACCTGCTTAAATTAGAAATTATATAAATTAATAATAAGATTTATATTTCTTAAAAGGGATATACTTAATAGATTTTAAAACGCTTTAATATATTTAATTATAATTAAAGATAAACTTTTATAAATTTAAATTTATTTCCGCGATAAAAGGAATCTAATAATATTATAATAAACGTAATAATATATTAATTACTTACTAAATCTATTAATTTTCTTATTATTAAAACAAAACTTAATTTTACGTTTTCATATATAATACTCTTAATATTTAATGCAAAGCTTACAATTCATTATTTAAATATTATAAAAAAGATGCTTTAATATATTTAGCATATATTAAACTATACTTTATGCTTTTTAAAATAAATATTATTATTTTAATTTATTATACTTAATATATATGCTAATACTTCTTATAATATTAATTTAAATAATTTAAAAGCATTTAATAAATATATATAACTTCTTAATAGCAATTTAATTACTTAATTATTAAAATGCTAATTTATTATTATAAAATTTATTTATAAGGCAAAATATATAATATATTTATTAATATTATTATATCTTTATTAAATAATTTAAATATTAAAAGATTTAAACATTAAGTATATTAAATATTTACTTATTTTATATATTAATAATTAGCTAATATTAAACCTTATTTAAAATTATAAAGTTAACGCTTAATTAAAATATATTATTATTTATTATTACTTTATTTATAAAGGAATTAAAGAAATATATAATATTTATTACGTTATATTTAAAGATAATCTTATTAATATTTATATAAAAGCATTGCCTTGCCTTATTTTTAAAGAGGCTTATATAAAATTAAAATTAAGATAAATATAAGGTTTATATTATTAAAAGGGTATTTAAATAGTTAATTAAAAATAATGCAAGCAAAATATATAAATATTAAATAATGTTTATATAATAATCTTAATATAAATTATAATGAAATATTTAAATTATATTTTTAGCTATTGAAATAAAATATTTTTTATTATCATTAAGATAATGATACTTGCAATGGGGGGTGTATTAAAAGATGCAAGGGTTGTATATTTATATGCTAGCGCTAATTTATAAATAGGCTCCTTCTAAGCATTTAATAGCGGGGAGATTTCTCTCCTTAATAACCATAATCAACTATCGTTTGCTTAATTGCTTCATTAAATGTGAGGGTGCCCCGATCCGATGACAGCGAACTTGAGGGATAGAAAATTAAATGCGCATAAAAACAGCAGTTCATAGCAGGCAGTGGTAAACCATGGTTAAAACAGGTCAAGTATGTCATGATAAAAACAACACAATCAATTTCGCTGAGCAAAACTACCTAAGTAAAATTGAGCCGTGAGAGTAATCAGCTCACTCCAGAAGGTTTACAGTCTAATATAAGCCGCTTGGTCCTCCCCAAAGATAGCCACTAGCATCAGGTCCGTCTACATACTCCCATCCCCGCCGGCGAGTACATGATATACAGTCTCTCCTCTTGGGACAACCGCATCTTCCCTCAGTACAATAATAGCCATCTACGGGGTTGCATTCGGGACAGCACTCTGAGCAGCAAGTTGGACTGTGCCGGCTCGACGTCCCACCACCCCCTCGAAGGCTTACGTGTTTATCAGAGTTCATCTTGTTTTTATGGCTTTCAGGCACAGCAATATCCGAGTTGACATTATGTGTTGCATTCAGCTTTAGGTACGTTGGTTGGCTACGTTTGTTCGTATTTGAAAGCAGTGTGTGTCAGACCGACAAATCAAAGGCGTCGGAGATGAAATGCTCCTTTTTATATAGGTCGAAGAGATCTTTCAAAATAAATGACACGATATGGTCGGTGAGACACCCTGGCAGCTGAACATTCACGGCGTGTACAACTGGAACCCTGACGAGGCCTGCTTGTGACATCCTGACGCATGTTCGTTAATTACTGGGAGCACACAATGCGGTTGAATGACTGTCCAAGAATCAAGAAGCTCAAGTTTTTTTTTTTTTTTTTTTTCCTTTTTCGTAATGCGAAATATGCCAGTGGTCTAGCTTTGCCTCGCGTGATGGGCCTGACTGGCTGGACCCCACATTGAAAGGATTGCGCCTTCAGTGGCCTCAAATGAGCTCCGTTTAGAAGCTAGCGGCTTACAGACTTTGCCATCGCTTTAGTGACACAATTGTGGTGACTCAAAGATAGCTTGCAGGTTTTGTCCAATGAAGCTTGGTTGTAAAGCCCGGATCACTCATCAGATCGCCGAACAACGACTAATCCATAATTTCAAATACGGCCTGACAAAACAATTTGTTGAACGATGTGAGAATGTATAAGACTGAGATAAAGTAACCAACAATTTCAATCTATGCACGGAATCGAAAGACACAGAAAGAAGCCTCCTCTTGGACAGAAGCTAACCTGAATCCCATCCCGCATAATTCACCACAATGTCTTCCTCCTACCCGGGTAACATCCCCAAGTGGCTCGAGGGCAACAAAACCTTCGCCACTGAAGTGTTCCCCTCCCTGCCCCAGCCATGGCACATGGATCAGCGCCGGGTGCTGGCCAAAGAAAGCGGCAAGACAACCCTAGTCCGTAAGTCACTGGCCCGAAAATCCCTTACCTTGTGTGAGTCCAGGTAGTCGTCTGACCGCCCGAATTGCCCAACTCAGTGACCTGCCTCGACCCCCGGTGTGTCCCGGAGACCTTCTTCGGCCCCGAATTCGACGGCCCGGTGTTTCGGAATGCCGGAGGCCGCGCCACGGACGACGCGATCCGCAGCTTTACCCTATTGCGCGGTCTGGCTGGCCTCAAGAATGTCGCTGTCATCCACCACACGGGTAAGCGGCATAACCGGCCCCCCAACCCACCCCCACCCCCTTGCTGCATCCAACCGAAACTTCGAAATGGGATCTTGTGACTCACAAAGCTTGTATGCACAGATTGTGGCGCCATGCACGCGACGAAGAAGGAGATTGTCGACACCGTAGCGCCGGAAGGCCCGGAGGCGAAGCGCGCGGCCGAGGAGATCGACTACGGGCTGTTCTCGCCCGACGAGCTAGAGGAGTCCATTAGGGACGATGTCCGCCTGCTGAGAAGCGCAAAGCCACTCGCTGGTGTGAACGTTCTTGGGTTCAAGCTGGATACTTTCACCGGGAAGATCGAGCCGGTCGAGGTTGAGACGTGCTGACTGACTCTGGTCCTGAATTGCTGGTTTGGATCGGCAACAATTTGAACTTCGGTCTCGGATCTGTTTTTTGTGCTTAGAAAGGTTTTAGATGCACATTTCCTTTCGAAGACATGTGAAGAAATTGTCGGGCTGGTAGGATATCACTCGCTTTTGTGATTTGTCTCTTAGACAGCACACTCCTAGAGAAAAAACGATGCCACTCTTACGAAACTGAAACATTGTTGAAGCTATTTGGCCGTTCCAAATCGCGCCAGAGATGGTCATCAGCAATATTTTCCTCTTTCCAACACCATACCTTGAACTGTACTTCGAGTTGTGAAGATAGTTGCAGACAGGTCTCCTAGGTACCAGCGCAGGTGATTGCTATCATCGTAGTGACCTCAGAAGTCTCGTGTGGCTGATTGTTCAAGGTCTAGATTCATGGACAGTGAAGTGGCGTTGGGACTTCGGAGATTACACGGAGCATGGCTATCGAGAGGAAAGGGAAAAGAAGAAGACATCACCTGGAGCTCCGTCGTCTGGTGATTAGATATCTACACTGGAAATTGGGTTCAGCCGAGGCGGCCCGAGAGCACCTTGCCCCAGGATGATACACGATGGACGTTCAAAAGTGAAATGACGAGCGTCGGACATAAATCCTGATATTACTTTGCCTGTTTACAGTATGGGTGACTTGACATTGAGAAGTGGTATTCGCAAAGGTGGATAACGCCCGATAGCATCATTATGTAGTCTATTACATGCCCTCATTACATGAAGAGCATTTTGCGTGGCGAATGTGGCCATGGCTGCGGGGTCTTCTGACAAACACACTCAAAGAGAATTACTTATTTTCGACAAGAACACCGACCGGGAGATCCAGCTCTGTTCCATACAATTCCCGTGGGTAGCTCGCTTAAATCAGCACACCCTTGTTCTGCTTCTTGTCGACGTTGTAGTTCTTCCAGACAGCAATGCTAGGGATCGCGAGAACCAGGATGGCAGTGGCGGCGATGCAGCTTTGCTTTTGGTAGTACCCCCAGGCCTCATCTATAGCTGTGCGAATAGCGCCACCAACAGGGTAGGTCAGCTGCACGAGATACCCGCCGTTGAAGATGGTCAGGTAGTCGGCCTTGGCCTCGGCGGGCAGCGCCCTGAGCAGCGCCTGTGGGAAGGTGTTGTTGTAGATGGCTCCCGTCACAGCGAAGCCGATGGCGCCCCCGATGTTGGAGGCGAGGCCGATCAGGGACAGCATCATGGGCACGCCGTCGCGGTCGGAGGCTGCCATCACAGCCATGTCCTGGCTAATGACGAGTGTGCCACCAGCAAATGCGATGAAGATCTGGCACATGACCAAGTACCCAATGCCCTGGTCGGCGCCACGGAAGTGGATCATGAGGCCAGCCCCAAGCATCATCAGCGGCAGGCCGAAGAATAGAGCGGTGTACTTGAAGTGCCTGGTCTGTCGCACCCAGATACCGAAGACGACACCCCAGAATGTGGACCCGACGTTGTAGATCTGGGCCATGTAGCCGGCCATGGCAACATCGAGGTCGTATACGACCATGACGAAGTACTGGTAGTACAGATCCCACGAGTAGAAGCTGAAGTACAGGATGGCGGACAGGCAGCAGGCACCAGTCACCGTGCGGCTCCTGAACAGCTCCCATCTGATGAAGTGGTGACGGGCAAAGTACCGCTCCCAAATGTAGAAGACGGGGAACAGACAAGCACCAATAACGATCATCGCAATGAACTTTGCCGAGCTGTAGCCTGCATAGCCGTACTGCTCCAGGGAGAAGGGCAGCAAGAAGAGAATGAAGGCGGCCATGAGAATCGCACAGCCAACAACGTCAAACTCGTGGCAGTAGTGGATGAAAGATTGAGCAAAGCCGCGACCACTCTTCTCGCGCTTGAAGAGGCCCAGCTTCTCGGCCTTGAGCGAGTAGAACTTGAAGACGAGGGCCAGGGGCGTGAAGACGAAGAACATGACAATGGTGAATGCGCCGTAGCCCCAGCGCCAGGTGGTGTGATTCAGGAAACTCTGGGCGGCCAGCGGCGCGGTGAAGGCGGTGCAGATGAAGGGAGTGCCGACGAAGGCGAAGGCAAAGGCACGATTCCGCAGGCCAGAGGTATCCGCGACAAAGACGTCCAAGATCAGGTAGATGGCATCGTAGCCAACCCAGTAGATGACGTATCCAGCAGCATACGAGTCGGGGCCATTGCTGGTGGCAATGATAATCATGCCGACCAGGTAGACGCAGACGAAGAAGAAGAAGCCCTCGGCACGGCCCCAAATGTTGAGCAGCTTGGCGAGGGAGCTTGATGACACCGCCGACGATGGTGGCCAGAATGTTGGCGGTCTCGATCTGCGGCGCCGCCGTGAAATTGGCGTAGGCGTTCAGGTTGAATATGCTGGTGGTGCCCTGCTGGAGTGCAAGCATGAAGAAGCACACCCATATCCAGCCATAGGTGGCGTACAGAGCCCATTTGGGCCAGACCAAAGCGGCAGCCTCAGCCTTTTGCACACCTAGGGCTGCATTGGCGGTGACATGGTCAGGGTCGGCCTGGATCTGCTTCTCGTTGATCTCCTCTAGACTGGCCCGCGAAGACGAGTTGATGTCGGGCTCGGGGACGTTAGGCTGCTCCACATCGTGCTCGTTTTTGACGTCGCCCGTTGGTGATCTCTCGTGCTCGGTTGACGCGGCGGCATTTGTGTCGTGAGACGGCTTGAACTTATCGAGGAACCCCATGGTGGGCAGTTTTCTGCGATCTCGAACGTGCTGATGTCCGAGTCAGTGAAGTCCAGACCGGGGTGCGTAGTATGAGCCCCTGCCATCTCAAGACATCTTCACAGTAGATAGATATACCGAATTATGAACATGGGGGCGTGTGTGAAGCATTTTCTCACCTCAGTCTTCAAATGGCCGTTTTCAATTGGGCCATCAGACACAAAAAACACTCAGGAGGAGGCTGGGAGGTCTGTTTGACGGGAAAAAGAGAGAAAACGAGAGCCGCGAGTCCTGGCGAGTCCTGGCGTGACTTCACGACAAGGGAGGGGGGTACGCAGTACTTGTATTGGACTCCACGCTTGCTCTCCCACATAAAATCCCGTCCATCTCTGGACAGAGACCGTCTGAGTTTTTACCCGGCTAGTGATGGACCGCGGGGGTCCAGGATACGGTATGCTACCATGCCGCGCAGTCATGCCGCGCAGTCATGCCAGTCATGGCGGTCGGTCACGGCCAGGTCATGGGCTTGCAACGCTCCCCACCCCCCGGTGCAGGAGCTGGGAAGAGGTGTCGACGGCCTGGCCCAATGAGTGAGCGACTGGACGTTCGCCGAAGCCGAATTATCAGATCACAGCCTATAAGCCAGAAAGGTCAGTGGCCAGTCTGCCAGTCCAGTCCGGCGCCAGTGATCTGATAAGATTAGATGCGCACACCAACAAGGCCACCTCCTTCGTTGGTCTTACCCAATGTCGCCCTGATCGTCCAGACCAGGAGCCATCCTTTCAGGATCTGTCCCGTTGTCTCAGTGCATCTTGGGTTAGCATTTTGGCTAGCCCGGCCGATTTTTTTTCTTTTTCACCAGCCCGTCTCCAAATGCAGCCCCGACCGTTCCGACGACCTGCCTGGAGCTGTGCCTGTGGGTGTGGCCGGCATCCGCCCAGGTTGCCTGGCGAGGATGCACAGAGTTTGGACGGACCGACTGGGCGGGGAAGCTTGACTGTGGCGAACGGAAGCTTAACTGCCTCGCCTGCTGCACATGCATCCTGCATACCTAGGTAGGCACATTGCAGACCGCATTGGCAGGCACTGATCTTGGCACATCTCTTGTCGCCGCCAATATTGAGCAGTCACCAGGCTGTCGTCAGGGCTTTCGGCCATCCCTGGCGTCCCACGCCGCCTGCGATCGCGAATCGGCGCCTTGCTGAACAGGGTCAAGCGTCCGTCCCGTGGGACCGCAAGAATTACCGATCAACAGTCTGCCGCCCGTAACGTGATGTCGCATGGCAGACAAGTGGACTCCTCTCAGCCGCAGAGGCAACCCGTCAAATTGGCATGGCAGGTATCCAAGATCACCAAGCGAATGAGCTTGGTTTAACAGGACCGTCTCAACAAGTAAGTGGGAACACACGAGGCACGCCTACACGGGCAAAAAAAGAAGCGGCCCACTCCGTACCTCGGAGCCACCAGTAACAGGAGGCCCGACCGGTCGCGGTGGGTACGGGCAGAATACGAGCACACATACATGTACACACACTGCTGTGAGTCTTAGACCTCGACATGCCTGGCATCAGCAGACACAGCATGTGGCAATAGTGCTTTCCCCCCATTCTCCAATCACAACACTGTTTTTGGAGCAACGGCGAGTCAAGACTCAGCAGGGGGCGCCTCATTGCCGGACGATTCAACGATCTAACTGGCCCTGTGCCCTTGATTCAGCTCTGCACCTCTGGCTCACATGTCAAGTCGCTGAGCCACTTCGGTTTTGTGCGCAGCAACCTTCATTGGCTTACGGTAGAGGAAACCAGGCCGTTGGAAATGAAATTTACAAATCAAGAGTACAAATCAAGAGCCGTGAGGCTGGGCTGTGCATTGTAAGAGTGTGTCGAAATGTAGTGGTCACGGGTGTCAATGAGCTCCATTCCAGCGCCCTGTAACACCAGGTCAGGTTCCGAAAAGGCATGTGAGACCCTCTGTGAGGGTAACGGGCCCTTGACCGAGGATGTCGTGCAGAAATATCAGGCACCACGCCGGACAAGATTGGAAAGCCAAGGATAGTTGAGGCCCAAAAGAGAAAGAGCGACTTCTGAATCTGTTGCAGGGTACGTACTTACTGCATAGTTATGCTTCATCAAATTGGAAGTGTCGAAAGTACCAATATGGTCGTGGCAAGAGCCAACATGGTACCTGCCAAGAGGTCATTGAGCATGTAGCCGAGGATATGGTATGAGGTTGGGAGAGATAATACGGACGTAGACTTACCAACCGTCCTCGCAGACGAATGTGACACGGCGAAGACGCCCTACGCTTGCACTCGCAGGATCACCATTGCTACTGGAACGCAATACAAGTGACTTTCTTTTGATTTCTTTTGGTCGACTCAACAACCACATATCACACCAACACACCCTTACCTACACCACAACGCCCCAACCACACCCGCCCAAACCCTCTCGCTCCCACATCCCAGACTTTTGACAATGCTGAACACTTTTCAATCAAGCAGACTCCCCCTACTCCCTCAGGTTGACCACACAGCGGATGCAATCGCCCGCCTTCATGTCGTTGAAGGCCTGTACAGGAAATTGGTCAGTATTGTATCACCAACGAAGACAACAAACAGTCTGGCGCTACGCCACTTACCTGGTTGATGTTTGTCAATGGCTGGCGGTGGGTGATGAACTCGTCGACCTTCAGGTTGCCGTCGAGGTAGTCCTGGACGAGACCAGGAAGCTGGCTGCGGCCCTTGACACCGCCAAAGGCGCAACCCTTCCACACACGGCCGGTGACCAGCTGGAAGGGACGTGTTGAGATCTCCTGGCCAGCGGCGGCGACACCAATGATGATGCTCTCACCCCAGCCCTTGTGGCATGCCTCAAGGGCAGCACGCATGACACCGACATTACCGGTGCAGTCGAAGGTGTAGTCGCAGCCGCCGTCCGTCAGCTCGATCAGCTTGTCCTGGATCGTCTGGCCGTTCAGCTTCGTTGGGTTCACAAAGTCGGTGGCGCCAAACTTCTTGGCCCAGTCCTGCTTGGCATCGTTCACGTCCACCACAATAATCTTGGAGGCTTGGTTCTTCACGGCACCCTGGATGACGGAGAGACCGACACAGCCCGCGCCGAAGATGGCCACAGTAGCGCCCTTCTCAACACCACCCTTGCCGGCCGTGATTGTCGCAGCGCCGTAACCAGTGGTGATGCCGCAGCCCAGCAGACACGTGCGGTCCATCGGGGCCTTCTCCTGGGCAATGGCAACAACCGAGATGTCGGCCACGACGGTATATTGGGAGAAGGTCGATGTGCCCATGAAGTGCAGCAGGTCCTTGCCCTTGGCCCTGAAGCGGGACGTGCCATCGGGCATGACACCCTTGCCCTGGGTTGCTCGGATCTTGCCGCACAGGTTTGTCTTCCCGCTCTTGCAGAACTTGCACTCCTTGCACTCGGGTGTGCTATTTTCCCGCCGTGTTAGCCCAGGTTCCCGGGTATCAGTCATGGTGCAGGCTGCCAAGCCGAAGTGGAACGCCGAAACTGCCCGAGCTGGCCGGCCAGGACCGCGTCCCCACTTTCCGCCTCCAAACGAACCAAGGAGCTCGGGCGCCAGGTGTCGACCGGGGCTCCGGCGGGGGTCGAGGCCAAAGATTGTGAGGCGATGGTGAAAAGACAGCACAACAGGCACCGGGGGATGCTTACTAAAGAGCGACGACGTGGTCGCCAGGCTTCACGTTGGTGACGCCCTCGCCTACGGACTCGACAACACCAGCACCCTCATGACCCAGGACGATGGGGAAGGCTCCCTCGGGGTCCTTGCCGGACAGAGTGTAGGCATCTGTGTGGCAGACTCCGGTGTAGTAGACCTCAATGCGGACCTCGTGGGCTCTTGGGGGCAGAACTTCGATGTCTTCGATGGAGAGGTCCTTGCCGGCTTCCCAGGCGACGGCGGCCTGCGAATTGTCAGTATGAAGCCACGACTCTGTCGCGTCTCGTTCGAGGGCTACCGACCTTGCAGGTGATGGTCTAGAGGTCAATTGTTAGCATGCGTTTCAGTCTAAGCGGTTGCTCCCACCCAGAGCCCCGCGGAGTCCTCCGAGGTCATGGTTGCTCACCTTTCCAACGGTATCGGCGGGCATCTTGATTTGTGGTGAGAAGCGTCTGTTTGGCGGAGGAGTGAATAGGGGAAATGAGGGAGAAAAAAAGGCTAAAGCAAAAGGAGGAGTAGGCTTTTGTTTTATCTAGTAGTGTGTCAGGCCAAGATACGATGTCGGCATGATCACGGGTCTATGACCACCGTTCGCGCTGTGAGGGTGGGGCTCCGTACTACATAGCAGCTTAAATCCGTCTACCGTATCTGCCACTTCTGCACGGCAGACCTCGCAATGCCATCGAGAACTCCCTCCCAGCCCCGCACCAGCAAATCTTCAACCGCCAACGAAGCATTGGTTGCGATTACCGTTTTGCCCTCCCAGGGATCCAATGGCATCGAGCTGCCCGTTGCCCGCCCTGTCCGTTGCCCGCCCTGTCCGTGCTTGACCTGCGCAACTTTCGGCGAGACCTGCCTGTGACGTATGATAGATGGCGGGGTAGCTTTCGCCCCGGGACATGCCAAGCTGGTACGGCATTCGGGAAGTCGGCGTTCTGAGCTAGCTGTGACTTCTGCTGCCCGTCCCAGCAGATGAGCTTCGCTTGGTAATAACAAAGACAGGCCTGCGGATGTCCTGGGGCGCAATTTTTCTCCGCAAGATTAAGACGGCAAAAGCCAGTCTATTATGGTACACCGTTCTTTTTTTCCCTTGTGGAACCATGGACTTAAGCCTCACTCCGATGCTCCGGCGCGGATGATAACGATAAAAATCATCTGATGATGTGATTGATATCCTCTTGTTTACCCTCGAGGTGATATGCTTGAATCGCTCGCTCGTCTATCGCTTGTCCTGCGCTATGCTGCGCTACCAGCTAACGTGTCGGTTGGCTGAACTGATACGCAACCGGTCCTAGGGACGGAGGTTGTAGAATCACTTGGCTCACTTAAGATGTCTCCTTGGAGGGCCTTTGATGAGCGCGAGGAGGGCTGAGATGCAGACCATTTCGCCCTTTGGCTTCCCATCGTACGTCTAGCGTTGCGGCGGCGGCGACCCGCTGGTGGTGACTTGGGACGTAGGTCTTGCTGAGTGAGTCTTTTGAAGCCGCGCTCGTGTGTCAAGGCACGCCTCTCTCTCCCGTCTTGCTCTTGACAGTTTACTGCTCTCCATCCAGTTCAAGATCTGTCCCGACTTGCGTTATACCGGCCAACTCACCTCACCATCTAAGGTCAACGAACCACGTTGTGTACACCATCCTCTTGCATCGATTGCGATCTAACACCCATTCTAGGTCTTGAATCGGCACTGAAGGATAGTCGGGCGAAATTCTCCTCATTTTTGGAATGGATTGCAAAGAGGGCAGCTTTACCAAGTTCCCAGACCTCCCACCAGAACTGCGCTGCCAGATCTGGGGGGAGCTCATGGGGGCACACGGTCTCTACCTGGTCTACTGCACTTCTGTCCTCTTTGACAGAACCGACGACCAAGACGGCCGCAGAACTCTTCGGCTTGCACTCAGGCCGGCACACCACAAGTTTCAAGTCCAAAGTCTCGGAGAGCGAGTCCACTCCCAGAAGATCCTGCTCGCAACATGCGTTGAGTCTCGGGCTGAGTTATGCAGACGCTTTCCCGACACCCTCGAGGGCGGTGGGCTACGCTTCAGTTTCGACATGACCTGATCTACATAGTGACAGACTTCCTCCGCCAGGCCTTCGTGGGCCTCAAGCTGCCCCCGGAGGTACGCCTCGAGTTCAAGGGTGGCTGGAACAGGCTCATTCACCGACTGGCTTTCGACAGCGAGTTCTGCCAAACTTGGTCCGTCCTCATGCGCGGACCAGGAGTAGGGGTCCAGCAGGATTGGCACAGCACGCGCCTCGACAGATTCATGACATTCCTCACCACCTGCACCAGCCTGAGGCAGCTTGTCCTCACCAGGCCGGACGGGATCGGCTTCGACGGATGGGCAGAGCTGTCTCGTGCTGACCGAACGACCCTTTCCGAGAGAATGACTGATTGCTACGGAGGCTTGACGTGCCAGGCGAGTGAGCGGTTCCCGGCGGAGGCGGTCAATTTTGACAAGACTGCGTTGTTCTTGAGGCAGATCATCCTCGGCGACCTGCAGTCCGCAATCCATCGCAATTGGGTGGGCAAGGTAAAGACTGGATACCCTGTGCTCAGGGACTTGGAGATATGGAAGATGGTGCATTTCAGTCTCGAGCTCCGGTGGCTCTGCAAGGGGATATCTGACTGCATGAGCGGTTGATGTGAGATTTCGAACGAATAATTTCGAGACCCAAAGGGCTTGAGAAGGGGGAGGGCCATTTGTCATGGACGTTGTACAACATCCTCTTTCCAGTGGCCATGCTTCAGTTTCTGAAGCTGAGTTGGACGGTCTTTCTGTGGTACTAAAACTCCAAGTCTCTATGGTGAGATGCAATGACGGGCGTTACTCGCAGAACAAAGCCTTGGTCTTCTTTGTGTCACAGTGCTGCGCTGCCCCAAGTTCTGCTGCCGACCCATGCTACACAGCGACATGCGTGTGTACCTCAGATCACAGCAGCTAGGCCACTCACCAAAAAAAAACTTCATGCCATTTCCTGCGAAACACAAGTACCCACGGACTCTTTTAGATTATTCGGTCACTTTGACTTATCAACGAATGTCACGACGGACACAGAAGCTCCGGGACTCGGGAGGCAGGCTCTGAGACCCTCATATCGGAGACCCTTGCCATGTGTCAGATACAGAGCGCCACGCAGAGTTCCTTCTTGACAAACACCACCCAAGCAGCCCGAGTCGACCTCTGGAGCCCCTGAAATCTGACAGTCCCCTAACCCTTGCCCCTGATTTGAGTTCGGGGCCCCTGAGGGCATTTTGTGGGCCTCTCCACCGTGCAGGAGCCGCGTGTCACGGCCAATGGAAGCCATGAGAAATTGTGGCCTCCTGCTGCATTCTTCGTCGGGGCGACAAGCGGTCAAAAGGTCGTCTGGACCACCCGCGTGAGTTGGTGGGCTCGTGCTATATACCCTTATAGTGTGCTGCTCACAATGAGACTTTCTCAAGGTAAAGTCCCCCCTCAATTCACTTCACGACGGCCTGCCGTCGAGATCTGCACCCGCCCACACGCAAAAACCCTGACACTGGCGACACGCAGCATCCAAGACGTATCTTGACCTTCCAACATTCGCGGAGCCAGGCGAGTACAGCATCGTGATCTGCGCGGATGACGACGAATATGCCGGGAGGTCCAAGGTCCTGCAGAAGGTTCTGTGCACCCCCCAATTATTTATCCTGCCCTTTTTAATCCCCAGGGCCCCGTTGCCGCTGAGCCTAAACCTCACTAACATACGGTCCCCTAGTTCGTGTCCAACGATGATCCCGGTAACGCGGCAGACAATGATGGGCGCTGCCGCAAGCTGATGGACATCTCGGGCGCGGCCACGGCCATCGAGCTCTTGGAGCTCGGCCCGGAGACGGACACAGCGATGCTCAGGTACCAGGTCGAGTACGCCGACGCCTTTGCGTTTGTGTTCAGTCTCTACTCACCCAAGACGCTTGAGACCGCCCAGAAGCTGCGCGACAAGGTCGCGGGTGCGGCTAGGAATCACCACAACATCATCACCATGTCTGACTATGAGAGGCCCGGGATGACGGTGCCCGTGTTCCTCATAGGGAACAGGGACGAAGACCTGGCTCCTCCGCAGGGTGAGTTGCAAGACAGGTCCGCTCCTGCGACAACAGGGCACTGCTGACTTGCTGGATCCCTCATGGCAGAGCTTGAGGAGGGCGACTTCTCACCGACGGCGTTCAACGAGAACGCCGAGGCAGAGCTGAGAGCAGTGAGGGAGAAAGGGCGGGCCGTGGCTCAGGAGTGGAAGTGTGCCTATTTCGAGGTCGACACGTCCAAGAGCGGGGAGCACGGCGTCGACGAGGCGATCACTGGCATTGGGCACATCATCAAGGCGGCAGAGAGACCATCCACCTCGTCCACAGCATCCTTCCGGACGCCCATGAAACCGCCCAAACAGTACAGGATACGGCGCTTCCTAGGGCGGATGAGCAGGATGACGAGCTTCAGTAATTGAGACAAGATGGTGGGTGGGGCTTCTACGTGGGCAGATGGGGTGCCTCTGGCTGGTCGGGGCACATTTTCTCTTTAGTAACTAGTGGCATTGGAAAGCAGCAGCATCTACCTGGTTGGTATACATAGAGGAGTTACGGAGTGAGGTCGTGTACACAGGGGGAACCACTATAGGGTCTGATACTGTACAAGATTGAATAATGGTGCCCATCCAGCCTCGTGGAATAAAATCACCAGGAACCCGTGCCTGCGCCTCAGCTGCAGGGATCTGCAGTAGATTGGCTGCCCGGGGACCCGAGGGCGGCTTATTCAGGGGCTCGACGTCTTCGCCCGCACACTTGATCTAATTTAGTCCATGGTACCTAGGCATATCTGTTTAAGTGGACATCGCCTATAGACCGCACGCGCTCATTGGCCTCCCCCCCCACAGAGGCATTGCAAATGAAGCATCAGGAGAGAGCAGCGAACAGTCATGAATTGACAGCATGCCAAATTTACAATGCATGGCCACCAAGCCGGGCCATCCGAATGGCCGCCTTAGCGCCTGCGAGGGCGATCTCCCAGCTGCGGCGAAGATCCACCGCGCTCACCGCTGTGGCCGACAAAACCTAAAGGCACGCCTGCCGCCCCTTGGTGAGCTGGGTTCAGCCCGACTTCACATCTGATATTCAGCCTGAGCACATTACCGGCCCCAGCATCCTCCACACCCTAAAGATCTTTGTGGAACTGCGCAGTAAAGCAAAGACACCACAGCCATTTCGCCCTCCCGACCCCCCACAAACAGCCGACAATGGACCGCTCTGATTCCTGGCCGGTGGCCCAGGCCCCGCCCGACACCGAGGCCGGGTCCGGCATCGACATCGGCGACCTGGGGGAGACGCTGTCATTCCTGCGGTGCTTCGACACCATCTTCCTGGTCGACGACTCTGCGGCGATGGGCCCCTACTGGGCCGACGTCAAGGCGCTCCTGGAGCGCATCACGCCCATATGCGCCAAGTACGACCCGGACGGGATCGACCTGTTCTTCCTGAACCACCGGCCCAAGGGCCTGCTGTCGAGCATGTCTTTCCGCAAGTCCGGGTACCGCCGCATCGGCGGCAACACGGCCGACACGGTGGCGGGCGTCTTCGACCGGGTCAAGCCCAGCGGCAAGTGCAACATGGGCGCGCGCCTCACCAAGCTGTTCCACTGGTACCACGGCATGCTGAAGCAGGACGAGGAGGGCGCCGCCCTCAACCTGATCGTCATCACGGCGGGGGCCTTTGATGACGACATCAAGGCCCCGCTGGTCCACGTCGCCAAGAGCCTGGACGAGATGGGCGTCCCCGAGCACCAGGTCGGCGTCCAGCTCTTCCAGATCGGCAAGCCCACCCTCGAGGTCGCCCAGACCTTCGAGTACCTGGACGACCAGCTCCACAAGGAGGCTCACACCAGGGACATCGTCGACACCACCACGTGGACGGGCAAGCCGGGGTCGTTGTCCACGGATGACCTGCTCAAGGTCGTGCTGGGCGCCGTGGTCAAGAAGCTGGACGAGCGCAGCAAGGGCATGGAGCTCAACAGCGCCGCGCCTGCGAAGCGCTACGACGGGGATGGTTACTGAGCTGGTTCGCCCGGTCAGTCGGTGCCGGGTTGAAATTCAAGGAAATCGGGGCCCGTACCTTGTGGGTCTCCCGGAGGAGGGATGGAGATGGACGGGGCCTGCGGAGGAAGACGCGGTTCAAACCGGCGTCAAATTGGGGCTGCTCACCGGGAGAGCCTGCTCTTTCCCAGCAGGTTTTGCAAGGAGCAAAGCCGTCGCAGGGACCGACCTTTGCCCAAGGTCGTTGATCTCATCGTCACCACTGTGCCGGGGTCTGGGGCGCGCCAAGGCAACCTAGTCTGCCCTTGCCCTGGATCCCGACGTCAGGTCACAAACGTCACGGCAACTTGAACCCTCTTATACTATACCTTACTCTATTGTAAAACAACAGAAGAGGCGAGGAGCTCCCCCTCTGCACCACCTCAGAACCCAAAAAAAACAAAAAAAATTATATATACCCAGTGTATTTACCCACCAAGGAAGAAGAAGAAAACTCCCATCGTGATCACCAACCATGTCTCTCCTCCGCTCCCCGGCCCTGACCAACCTCCTCGGCCTCGCCAACTTGTCCGCCCTGGGTGCGGCGACGCTCTACCTCAGGTCGCTGCACGCCAAGAACCTCGAGGAGCACGCCGAGCACGAGGCCCGCATGGACGGGCTCGAGGGGACGCTGCGCGGCCACATAGGGCTCATCGAGGACTCGCTCGAGCGCCTCGAGGGCCAGAAGATGAAGGGGATGAGCGAGAAGGCCCAGAGGCTCTACATGGCGCGCGGTAGGGAGGACAGTGGCGAGGGAGGGCCGTAGGTCGCTCTGCAACGAATTGGCATCTCGTGATGATGAACGCCCTGCGCCCTGTGGGCCGGCCCGCTGTTCGTTTCGGTTGTGGGTGCCTGTCCAGGAACGCCAGCAGCCCTGCTTGCCTTGTGGGCTCATCATACTGGCCTGTCCCACGTGAGACGGCCGGGATCTGCATTGGGGCCTCTTTTGTCTGTCCTGGAACGTCTGGATTGGCTTGGCGGCTGATGGTCCGGTTGATGGTCAACAACACGCAGGCCACGGCGGCCCATCGCAGCGACCGTCCTTGGATCACCAGTCGAGATTATTCCGAAACATACCGGTGCAGAGAGCATGGCAATGGTCACCGGCATCACAAATGGCGCAGATCACAGAACATTATGGGACCGTTGTCACAGAAGGGTGAATATTGTGTGGCAGATCTTGTTATTATTATATCCTGCGCAGTTGCCTGCGCGTCTCAGTTGTCATTTAGCTAATGTTCAGTGCTATTTAGAGCAAGCCGCTTGATATCTTTTGTCTCCCGTGACTCCGATCCGAATCGGTTTAAATATCCATCTGAGGCTGAACATATGTGGTACCAGAAGTCACGGGTTCACCGACAAGCGACTCTCTCGCTTAAAGAGCCAGCAGGTACTTAGAAGGTGCGGGCGACCTTGCCGTTGGAGCCCCGGCGGACGGCGGGGGCGGCGGCAGCGGCGGAAGAGGAGGCGCCACCAGCAGGGCTAGTTCCGGAGGAGCCACCGGCGACGCAGTTGGATCCGGTCAGGGGAGCGAAGGGGCCGTCGCCCTCACGGAAGACGACGGAGCCGGGGTTCTCGAAGGTGTAGTCGCTTCCCTCGGTGGTGGTGCAGCTGTTGACGTCGGGGACGTTGGCGACGGCCATGTCTGGCAGGGCGTTGAAGGCGGCCTCGTCGCCTCCCGTGCCGGTGAGCTCGACGGCGGCGCAGTTCATGTAGAACTCGCGGACGCCGCCGGACTTGTTCATCCAGGTCCAGGCGAGCGTGGCCTTGCCGGCGGGGATGTCGGCGGGAACGGTGAAGTTGTACTTGTCGGGCACGGGCAGGGTGGCGCTCTCCGGGGTCAGGTTGCCCGTCTGGCCGCGGGCGGGGCAGCCTCCCTCGTACGAGGTGATGACCTTCCAGGCCGACTCCTTGGTCGGGGCTTCGTCGTAGGTCAGGGAGACCTGGCAGGAGCCGCCGGCGTGGACGGTGGAGCCCATGAAGGCGAGGTTGGGGGACGAGCCCAGCTCCAACGGCTTGGCCGTGCCGCTGCTGGACCTGCCCTGGCAGGGGAAGGGGTTGTCGGCGCCGATGGGGGAGTTGATGGTCTCAGCGAAGGGCTCGGGGTCGGTGATGACAATGTGGGCGGAGGCGGCGGCGGCCAGGATGGCAAGGATCTGGATCGAGGACAGCATCTTGAGAGAGTGTGGTTAGATGGTCGTACCGGACGAATCCAAAGGTGGTGTGGTAAAGATAGTGGTGGACTGAGAAGTCTGCTAGTCAAAGTGAGTGTGGGAGAACGATGGATGCAAACGCGCCAGGCGTGTGAAATTAGTGAATGAGTAGTAGTATGGGGGAAGTAGAAGAAGAATGCTGTGATGATGAGAGTGGGATGAGAGTGGTGTGATGGACAGGTGAAGCCGTTCTTATATTCCTGAGAGCTGAGCGCCTCGGAGCACCGCGGGCTTGCCTTGACCGCGAGCCATCCTGCGGGATACGATGCGGTCCAGATGCGCCACCGCGAGGCAGTAAGCTGCTGTTTTGGTGTTGACGAGGCGGCCATACCAAGTCAAACCAGTCACAGGTGACACCTGCGAATCGACAAGTCCCATTGGCTCGACAACCCAGCAGCGATCTGGTGAGACGGGCGAGATCCGATCCAGCCGCATTTTGCTCCCGTGGGGTTTGACGCCGCTGTGGTGGCGCCCAAGATGATTGGAGTTCTTGGAGTCTCCCTCCGGAGCCAGACCCGTTCTTATTTCTTGGCAGCGGTCCAATCAGGCCGGGCTTGACACTGAACCTGGCCATAAGATTCAGGCTTGGATGAATGGAGGAGGCGTGAGACTCCTTCAAACGTAAGAACGGCCATGGGGGCGGCCCGTTTTAGGCTCCTCAGTAGCACCGAGCATGAGCCACCGCACCGTGTTCAATTGACTACTGCAAAATAGAAGTGGGCCAACCAAAACTGCAGCCTTGAGTAAGCGCGTGAAGGAGAGTCCCTCTTTCCCAAAATACATGTGTTTTGGGGGCTCGGTTTTTTCTGGTTAGCCGGGGGCGCCTTGTACTAACCCCCCCCCAAGCCCAGCGTAACTATATGTATACATGTGTGGAGCCGTCCTGATCACTTTCAATTGTGCGGCGCAGCACTCCTGTGAGTCGTCGCAGGCTGAGTTCCTGCAAAGACAGATTTGATGAGAAATCATTATTCAAAATTCAATCCCGTGTGGTTGCATTCATTCAATTCTCAAAAATCGTGCCTTTAACCGCAGCGAGTGCTGCCAGGACCGGACTTGGAGTTCGCGCCTATCGTGCAAGTGAATTTCCAGGGCAATTGATCGGTAATGGATTGAGAACGGGACGTCGACCAGTGAGTTCCCAGATTTTATAGATCACAAGCCTCTTCAAGTTTGATCAAAATGCTGAACCGTTTCAGTTGCCTTGTGCAGTGGCCACTCTACCCACGTTGGGCCTTGTAGCAGCCGATCTGCCACTCATGATCTTTTGATGCCCAGTCTAGCCAAAACTTCATACCGTAGTAAGGAGATACGGTTGAGTTTTTCTCTGTATCAAAAATATTCTTGATGGGTTCAGTGAGCTTGGTTACCTTGAACATCCGTGGGGTGCTGCCGTTGCAGCCTCTGCACTGTATCCTCGACACTGACCAACACCTAGATTTCCCACAAGGTAGACACACCCATACATGAAAGCTCTTTTCTTTTTTTTTTTTTTTGGACATGGAATGTTTATCCCATCTCATTCTTTTCTTCTCTTCTCCTTCTGGCTTCTCTTTCTCACTTCTCTTCTTCACTTTTTCTCATATGCTTTGGAAAAACTGATAATTAAAAAAAAGACAGGTTGTTGAATCTACACGGCATTCTTTCACTAGACTCCTCTGTTTAGTACAAGAAAAGGGCGTCCTTATCACTCAAATTCCTCTCAATCTTCCTTAGATATGGAGAATCCGTTTCAGTTCTAAAACATCAGGTTATTACTTGCAGGATACAAGGCTTAGATACTCTCACCTTGTCCTTATTGTTGGCACATCGTTAATCACTTCGCTGAGCACACATATCACAGGATCATTTAACATATGTCTCCAGCAATACAGCAGCATGGACGCCAAAATCACTAGTGTGAAACACTTGGAGCATAAGTATGCTTGAATTGATCACATTATTTAGAGTATCAAACCCTCAACCATCATCATTACTCAGTCATAAGGGGATGTATCCTGAAGAACCATTTCCTGCATCCCAAAAGAGCCGAAGAAAAGTATTGTCGTCAACACATCCGCAGGCCAAGACTCGTTCGCATCAAACCGCCCCTCTAGTTACCGGTGAAGTTGACCGACTGGCTAGCGTCGCCGGCGGACTTCTTGTCGGTGGCGATGTTGGTGTCGAGCTTCTTCTGCTCGGCGGCGATCTTGTCGGCGTTGTCCTTGCCGTTCTGGGCCTGGTCGATCGAAAGGTCGAGGACCTCGAGCTTGAGCTTCAGGACCTTGTTCTTGATCTTGCCGACCTGGAGGGCGTCGGCATCGGCACCACTGGCGGCGGCGATCGCGTCGTTGAAACCGCCCGTGCCGACCTCAGCGTCCTCAGCGGTCGTCCTGGCGGCCTTGATGATGGCTGCGTCGGCCGGGTCGACGTTTGCCAGGTCGTTCTCGTCGATCTAGAAAGGGTAGAGTGTGAGCAGCTGCGTGTCTGGGGTCTTCGGTTGCAGTGACCAGGTGCGCGCGGTAGGTGCTGTACTTACAGGGAACTTGGCCTGGACCTCGGCGAGTGCGTTTCCAGCAACTCCGTCGCTGACCTGGAAGTCGGCGTAGCTCTGCTTGGTCAGAACGGCGGCACGCTTGTGGTGGCCATCCTGAGCGGTGGGCAGGGACAGGGCCGAGGCGGCGAGGAAGAGGATGGCAGTCTTGATATACATCTTGTTTGGTGGTGAAAGAAGGTGGTTGGTGTTGCGAGAGACGACGATTAGCGAGTGAATATCGAACAGGTAAAATTAAACAGCGCAGCTGTGTTGAAGAACGGAGAAGGGATGAACGGTTGGGAAGGTGTTTGGATGAGTGAGTTGTGGGGATGAGATCTTCTGTCGTACCGCCGGATGAGACGAAGATCTTATAGTTGTTCGCGAAGCCTGTCAACCGCCGTCGTCAAAAAGCCATGCGGGCTTGGCGAGCTAGTTCTTCAAACTCATGAGACTCTTCCGAGCTCGACACCGGGGTGTTCCAGGGGAGGTGGGCGGGGAGGGGAGAAGGGGGGCGCAGAGACGCCCTTCAGGAATTGTCCTGTGCCTCATGTCGAAAACATCGCCAAGGCTGCCGACATCCACCCTTACAAACCCGCGATAATGCAGCCGGGTCGTTACCGAGCACGACAGACACGAGGGAACCTTCGCCAGTCCCAAATCGGCAATTGTGGTGCGATGGTGATGCCCTGGGACTGGTCCGTCCAGCAGGCGCTACATGACGAGACACGATGGGATGGACCCCTCGGTAGGGATGGGCACCTGGTGAGGCAGGACGAGCTGCATGGGCATGCTATGAAGGGATCGGTTGAAAGCGAGCCCGTGGTGTTCTCGCGTGTTCGCAGATCGACGACCGGTACCACGGATCCAATGAGGATCCGTTTCCCACAGGGCGGGTGCCCAGAAAAGACAAGACCAGACAAGCTCCGACAAGCTCAAATGATCGGCAGGCACATCTTGGCCTGATGTTGGCGGGATGTTGGCAGTCTGGTAGTTGGGACGAGGGCGGGTGCGCCGAGCGGCGGTCGTCTGAGCTGGCCGCTCGTCTCGTTGGTGTCGCACTTGATGTGTGATCTCTGCCAGGATGCCGGGGTGGAAGCATGCTCACCCACTCACAGCGGCAGGGTTGGCCTTCCCGGGCTGTTTGGGGTGTGGGGCTTTTGGTGGCTGCTGCGACGTGTGAGGCTGTTCGCTTTTCCGGCAACCCCCTTCTCCCATCATGACTGCCGTCGGCGCATGGCCGCGATTTGAAGATGACATGCGCCGGCGAAGTACGAACATACGCCATTGCCCTACAACAAGAAAAAAAAAGTCTGGCTGTTGATGGATGTCGTGTTGGGGAGTGGGACGTAGTCAAGTGACCTTAATCCCTATACCTCACTTAACATCCAAATATGATATTTAAATATTAACTAACCTCATTTCATATTTGGATGTCAACTAACCTTATTTCATATTTAAATATTAAAAAAAGAATTATTATTAAATTGTTAGTATTGATTTTTAATTTATATTAATAAATTTATTTTAGCATTATCTTAGTTCTTACTATAGTTATTATAAGCTATATAGCATCCTAAGCAACCCAACTCCTTTATACTAAAGATTATAAAGCATCCCTTAAAGAAAGTATTCTCCAGCTTATATTTCTTGCAATCATTATACTTCTTATTAACCTTAATTTTATAAAATGTAATTAAAACTTTAATTAAGTAATGCAAATCCTTTAATATTAGGTTTAACTCATTATTTAAAGTTATATTGCAAGTATTAATATAAATATAAATATTATTACCATTTATCTTAGCAAGCTTCTTAAAGATAGCTTTCTATCTTTTATTAAAATTATATTATTAATAAATTAAAATTATATTTATATACTTTTTATTAATTATATTAATTATATTATTTATAATATACTTAATAATAATTGCATTACTTATATTAATCTTATATTCTTAAATAACTAGGTTATTTTTAATTAAATTAAAATTAATATGCTTAATAATCTTAAGTTTAAGCAATATTTTAAAATTCTTTTTTTTTTAAATTTATTTATTAGTAAGTTAAATTTAAAGCCCTGGAAATATAAGTGCTGTTAATTACCACTTACGCTAAGTTATTTATTAAGTTAGTTTTAAATAAATATATTAAAGTTGGCTTCTTTATAAATGTAGCTTAAAAAGTAAAAAAAAATTTTTTAAAAAAGGAATTATTAATATTTTATATTAATTCTTCTTAAATTTAAAATTATTAAAATATAAAAAGTATATAATATATAATATATAATATATAATATATTCTTTATAGTTATATATATATTAAAATTAATTATTTTAATAAAACTTAGTTTTTAATAAATTACTTATTAAATAATATAAAAGCTTTTTTAAAATTATATTTAAATATTATAATATTAATAATTTATTATATTAAGTCTTAATAAAAATTTTATATTTATATATTATTAAGGGCTATATATTATATACTTATATTATTTAATCTTTTAATTATTTAATCTTTTAATTATTTAATTTTTTAATTCTTTAATCTTTTTAATTATTATTTATTGCTTATATATAAATATAAACATTTATATATATATTTAAATATATTAAAATTATTATAACTTTAATTAAAATCTTAAAGATAATTTATATTTTTAAATTTAATTTATATTTATTATACTTTATTTTATATTTAATATTATTTTAAATTATTATTATAACTTTATAATAATTTTATATTTATTTTTAATATTATTCTTTATTATTATTTTAAGTTAATATTATTTTTAATTATTATTTAAATTAAAAAATAATTTTAAATTCCCTTTTAACGCTATATTTTATAATTACTTTAGCTTTTATTTTACTTTTTAAACTTTTCTTTCTTTTTTAATCTTTTAACTTAACTTTATTAATATTTTTATCTTTAACTTTATTTTTAAATCTTTAATTCCTTTTACTTCTTAATTAAATAAATATTTAATAAAACTTAAGATAAATTAAAATAGGTTAATATTAATAAAAAGGGTATAATAAAAGGGGAGGAAAGTATTAATAAATTAAAAGAACTTAAAATTATAATATAATTTCTTTTTTCCTTAAATATATTAAGAATAAAAAATATACATGCTTTTATTAATTTAATATATTTTAATTTTTATTAATATATTAAAGTTTAAATAATAATAATATAAATTAATATATAAATAAGGTTTTAATTATTATTACTTTGAAGTTAACTTTATATTATCCTTAAGGTAAAATTATTATTTAAAAATATTAATTCTTCTTATTAATTAAACTTAATAAAACTTAAAAAGATATATTTATATTAAAATATATTTAAATATAGTTTATATAAATATAGTTAATTTATATACTTTTAATTACTTTAAAGCTAATTAAAAGGCTTTTATAATAAGTAATCTTAAATTTAATAAATAATTAAATAATTAAAGTAATAAACTTATATTAAGATAATAAATAAGTTAAATTATAGCTTAAAAGTATAAAATAAAAGAAAAAGTTTAATTATATTATAAAAATAATTAATAATAATATAATTAATAATATAAACTATATAATTAAAGTAAGTATTAATATAATTATATATATATTATTAAATTTACCTTTTAATTATATTAATATTTAAGATTATTTAAATATTATAATAATTTAAATTCCTTATTTAAAATTAATAAAGATTAAACTATTCTTATTAATGTTTAAATAATATTAATAAAATATTTAAATATTATATTTAAACATTATAAAAATATAAATTCTAAATTAAATTACCTTTATTAAGTCTTATATAATATTAATATTATATTTAAATATTATATTAAAATATAATATTTAAATATTATATTTAAATATTTTAAAAATAAGGGTTTTTTATTTAAAATTAATAAAGGTTAAATTATTTTAAATTATTATTTAAACTAAAAGGTAATCTTAAGTCCCTCTTTAATGCCATTCTTTATAATTGCTTTAGCTTTTATTCTTCTTCTTGGACTTTTCTTTCTTTTTTAGCCTTCTTACTTAACTTTGTTAATATCTTTATTTCTAGCTTTATTTTTTAAATCTTTAATTCCTTTTGCTTTTTAATTAAAGGAGTATTTAATAAAACTTAAGATAAGCTAAAATAGGCTAGTATTAATAAAGAAAGTATAAGAAGAGGGAAGGAAGGTATAAGTAAATTAAAAGAGCCTAAAACTATAATATAATTTCCTTCCTCCTTAAATATATTAAGGATAGAAAATTATATATACTTTTATTATTTAATAGTTTTATTTTTATTAATATATTAAAGTTTAAATAATAATAATTTAAATTAATATATAAATAAGGTATTAATTATTACTGCTTTTAAGTTAACTTTTATATTATCCTTAAGCTAATAATATGCTAACTTATCTTAAGAAAGGTAATAGCATTATTTAAAAGTGCTAATTCTTTTTATTAACTTAGTTTAATAAAACTTAAAAAAGCATATTTATAATGCTTTAACTTTATATAGCTATTAATATAAATATAATTAAATAGGAAAATAAAATTACTTATAAGTATAAGTTGCTTATTGCTTATATTTAAAGCTTAGCGTAATTATATTTTAAAAGCTAAATTTAAGGTTATACTTTTTTATAATAAAAAGAGATTTAAAATCATCTTTATTTTATATTTATAAACTTATAATAAAAATAAATTAATATAAATAAATATATATAAGTAATTAAATAACTTATTTAGTAATAACCCTTAAAAGTAAATTATATTTATTATTAATTAAATAGCTTTATTAATATTAAACCTTAGCTGGATTTAATAATAATAATATTTTATCCTAATTATTAAATAGGATTTTGGAATTATATTTATTAAAGCTATAATAAATAATTAAATATTCTTTTTGCTTAACCCATTTTAATAAACTTTGCTTTATGCTTAGCTTATTATTAAAGGTTTAAGCAAGATTTAATAAAATAAGTATTATTTATATTATTAAAACTTTTTAAATAATACATACTTTATATATATTAATAAGTTTAAGTATATTAAGTAAAACTAATAGCATTAAGTAAAGCTATTATAAGGCTATATAGTGATTTTAATAATTTACTTTAAAATATATTAATCTTATATTTAAATATTATATTAAGATATAAACTT